TTTGGGATATAAATGTAAGAGCAGGAAGAAAACTTCACTAACACATCTTTCTTTGGAGTTTACCCCCTTCCCCTGTATAGCTTGCTTTCTTTTTACTTTGTACTCTACACATTTGATTAATTGGTTGATTATGTGCATCAAATCAATGTTGTCTCTTAGTGAATATTCAGATTTTCTGCATAACAAAGTGAACTGGACTTTTAGTTCTTTCAATAGTGCACTTATGGTTACTATAACTGAGTCTATTCACCTTTCTTCTGGTCATCCTCTTTTCTTTCATTCTACCTTTCCCATCATTAGCGTCTTCTCCATAAAGATACTTCTTTATATAATGTGGACAATTTGAGTCTTTTATTGTACGTTAGTTAAGTGAGAACAAGTGAGACTGATTTATTTGTTGAGTCATTTGTTTGTTTTCTTGACTTTCCATAGTATTTTTAGGAGTGTTCTCCAACACCAAAATTCAAAGGCACCAATAGTGTTCCTATCCTGCTTTTGTAAAGTCCAATATTTGTATGGTTAATCTTCTAAAAATCTAAACATGTAGGGGAAAGCCCCTGCCTGCAAAAAAATTGAAAATCATTATGCTTTCAGATTTCGAACAATGAAAAAAATTGATGTATTTGTCTGGTATATAAAGAGAGCATGTGAGGATTTCCTTTAAATTGGAATTTTCACAGCTTCTTTAATAATTAGGAAAAGAAAAGTGGAGTGTTGAGTACTCAATTATAAAATTGGGAAACTGTTAAAAGGTTTTCATTATCATGTAATTGTTACTGTGATTATTGCTGTAGATTTATTATATGTTAAACAGTCAATTTTGGTGCAGCAAGAAAATATAAATATATAAATAAAATAATTAGTTTTATGGTTACCAAATTATTTTCATAGTTACTGTATAAGCAGTTTTCACTAGTTTATACATTTGTTCTAAGTTCACTTGTTGTTCCAGTAGTATATAGAACATTGTGAAAGAAAAATGTATTTTTCACATTTCATTCAGTTTTGTTTTATTATAAGTATTAGTGATTAACCTTTAGTATGCATTATGTAAATTTACAGATTATTAATATATGCACTTATAAATCAAATAAGGAGTAATGTTCATTAGTCTTTCCACTATATTAATAAAGAAACTATTCATAAGTCATTTTTGCTATTCCCATATTTGATAATGCAACCAGTGATTGATCCCAGGTTGTTGAATTACAATTATATCACATCTTTAAATCACTTTCTAGAGACAAAGCCAATATGTGATGTTACATCTTCCTCTGGTCATTTCATTAGGTAACATCAGTGCTTGTCAGTGTAATTTTTAATCCATATTTATGTACATTAGCTTGGGTACTGCACCTTGATTAGGGGCGTTGCTTCCTGCTTTATTGTCTTGTGTTATTCTCTGTTTATCTGCTGTGTGGTTGTAAAACGAGAGATTTTTTATATATAGTCATGTTCTCATTTTCATAGTTTATGTTGCTTGTGATGTAATGGATATCCATTTTGTTGGAAAATGATATATGGGCAGTTTGTTTCCCTTTTCTGGTGTTCCAAGTTGCTGCAGTGTGTTTGTGCTCAATCAAAATATTATCTGATGCATTCCAATAAGATTCTTGAAATAAGAATCTTCTTAAGAGAAAAATTAGATTTAATATTCTTTGAAACGTGATGAGAACTCATTCCAAATTAATAATGCCCCTAAATAATATATTTTAATTTTTAAAAATGATACATTTGTAATAATGTGTAATAATCTAGGACAAATTTCTGTTCCAGTTAGAAACTTACAACAGCTAAAGAATCTCAATAAGATTGTTTTATTTGTATACACTTTCATTTGGTTTTGGATTTTCCAAATTGCTCTTGTGATAAATAAAAATCTCAAACTTGGTTGCACATTAGCTGATCTAAAGTATTTCATTCCTACTAGGTCATGAATTTTGCCATAAAACATCCTCCTGTGAGGATTCAAAATTTCTTATACTGTAAGATTATCATGTAAATAAAAGTCAGAATTACACTTCCTTCCAAATATTCCGTACAGACTATAATGCTATAAATACAATGACATTATGATTAAACAACTAAAAAAGAGAAATGGAATTCAAAATGGTAAAACTAAAAATCAGGAATGTTGTAATGATTAATTTAGTAATAATTAAGATAAAATTAAGATGTTTATCTTTCTCATAAAAACCTTTTTAATGTTGAAGTTTCTAGAATATAAATAATATGCTATGTCTAGGTGTTAAAGAGATCAAAACAGGCTGACAGTTGAGAACAAGAAAAATATAGTATAAAAATAATCTTCTAATTAATGTACTTTAGGTGCAGAATATCTACTCATAAATGACTTTCAAGGAAGCCAAGTAAAATTGATAACACATCTTTATTGAGCTATCCAGCTGAATACTAAGCACTTGGCTTTTTTTTGTAAGGAAACTAAGATAATTCAAAATCTAAATATAGATAAAAGGGTTCTTTCAGATTTAGACCACTTAAAATCACAATGCTACCATTAAACTCTAATAAATTGATACATTTAAAAAACCCAGTATAATAATTAAAAATCTTTCACAACTGTAGCCTCTTTTGCTCTCTTTTAAGTTAGGTATTGCTTAAAAGTGTTGTTATTCAGTTGTATCCAACTCTTCACAACTCCATGGTTTATGGCAGAGTTCCCCAACCTTTCTGGATTCATGGACTGGCTGAGGGTGGAAGTATGATTCCATGCGAGTGACGGGCAAATGCACTGGCAGCAATGGAGCATGTGTGCAGGTGCTTGCCTATTGCTCATGCAAATGGGAATGTGCACATGCTTGCCAATTCCATGGCCCGATTCTAAACATCTCAAGGCCCAGTAGTGGCTGTGGCCCGGTTGTTGGGACCCCTAGTATATAGTATGCCAGGCTCTCCTGTTGTCCACTGTCTGACCACAAGTGCTTAAATGTTTATAAAGGATCATTCTAATTATATATTCTTTCAATTCTGATTACTTGCTAAATTTTATATCTATTTTGTACTAGAAAACACAGTTTTTAAGTGGAAGTCAGCTAAATGTGTTTGGTTTTTATTGTGCTCCACATAAATATAATTTATCTGGTATTGTTTGAACCATTTATTATGCTATTACATTTATTATATGTATAGTAGCATAATAACATGCTATTATATTTAAGAATCAACTTTATTGTAGCTAATAGTGATGCGATTATAATATGTTTCATCTATTATGAATTAGATATATCTTCTGTTGGCATTACATATCTGTATACAATTGTAATTATAATTTTAACACAATAATTAATGAATAGAACATTTGTTCATGACAGATCTAAAGTTCTATTTGTAGTCATTTAGGTTAAGGTTAGGATTTTACTATTTTTTTCTATTTTTTGAACCTGTTTTTCCTATTATTAGTAAAGTTTGAGGATCTGTGATGAGAGTATAGTTTTTTTTCTTCCTGTGGAAAGAAAATTCTTAATATTGAGAACATTTCAAAAATCTCTTTACTAGCATTTCCACTGATTTCTTGCAGTTGGGTATCTTTTTTTTCTTTCTAATATCATTTTTAAAAAATTAGGCACATTGATGATTTTCCCTAAAGTGCCTAGAGTTTGGAATTCCAATTAATGCTTCATCCAACTATCTAATTTATTTCCACATGGGAGAGTAAATAGTAGTTAATTTTCTTCAAGTACCTTAAAAAGCCTACATGTCTTTTATTTCTCATGCATTCCTCACCCCCATCTACAGGTTGTCCTTGACTTATGATCACAATTGTGATTTGATTTTCAGGTGTAAGTTGTTAAGTTGTAAATCAAGGCCAGACCTGATTTTACATCTTTTGTGGTGATCATTAAACAAATCACTGCAATAGTGAAACAAATCCATGGTCATTAAATGAATATCACAGTTGTAATTGCAAACGTATTTTTACAAATGGCTTTTTTTTGCTGGAAACTGGCAAAAAATGTCAGAAACAACAAATAAAAAGTTTCAAATTGCAGAATCCTGCAACTAGTCAAAAAGGCAAGTTGCTTGCCAAACACCCAAATATGGTCATATTACCGGGGGTGGTGGTGGGGGTGGGGGTGTTACACAGCATAGTAACCAGAAGTGCTTTACAAGCCATAAAGACCTGCAGAAGCATCATACTGGAGGTGGTTGATAAATTAATAACAGATCCCATCTCCCTACACCCAATCATCTTACTCTCTCCTTCCCCATATTTTAGTTACAGTTGATCATTTGTATTTTTGTAATGTTTTATTGTTATTATATACATGCTTTTCTATTGTTTGATTCTTTTTAACATTGTAAGCTGTCCAGAGTCACAATGTGGTGAAATGGGTGGCAAATTAATAAACAATAACTTGTTCTGAGGCCATCATAATTTTGAATGGTCATTAAGCAGCCAGCTATAAGTTGATACTACTTGCATTGTGACTATTAAGCATGCTACGTCATATGTTATTTCTCTTTCCCCAAATGTGAAAGTTTACTTTGCATGTACTACTGTTATGTCTACTTCTACTATGTCTTATTTATTACTTATTTATGGTGTTAATTGTGGAATAATGATCCATTAAAAAAAGAAACCCATATGTTTCTTTGAACTTCACAGAATTATTATTATATACTTCTACAAAACCTATTAATCCAAAAACTAGAAGTATTACCATTTCCAAGCTTGTATAAATGGTCAGTCTACAACTTTTCTAAATTTCTCATCAATCTAATAGAAATCCTTAAGAATATTTTTTTAAAGGAGTATTAATCAATTTATTAGGACTGTGGAACCTCTGATCAATTGCCCACACAACTGCATTCCAGAGCTATTGCAGCTTTCAGTGCTCTTCAAAATCAAGTGAAGGGTAATAAAATTATATAGGAAAGTTTACCTTAAATTATACATAGAATCTTGAAATGCACCTGTTTGTATGAAACATAATTTATTTTCTGATTTGCTTGATATTTTATTTCTTTTTATTTTACAGGAATCAAGTGTTTGTAATATGATGAAAGAAGATGGAAAACTATATTGTCAACCGCTAAAAATATTTCTAACCTGACACCATATTTAAATAGTCCCTTGGCATCATAAATGGTGTATATCAAAACAGAGGAAAATGGAACGCTGTGTCTTCTACAAATACTTAATGGAAAGACCTGCAAAAGATTATTGCATCTGTTTTGCATCAAATTTGGAAAAAATGTATACATTTATTTGTTGAACTAAATTTCAGTTCACATATAATACACTAGATCCTAAGTAGAATAAAAAAAGAGTTTTTTTGGATACTTGTATTGAACATGACTCATGGAGAAGATCTTGTCTCTGAGATGCACCAGGATTCCATTGTTCTAACTTACTTAGAGGGATTACTAATGCATCAGACAGCCGGAGGTTCGGGTTCTGTGGTTGACAAAAAGCCTACTAGTAATGCTGAAGATCAAAATTTCAGCGTTTCTGGAAATGCATCTCCCAGCTGTCAGAGAGATGGTGTTCCTAACACACATACATATAGAAGTTCTGGCATGTTGCATCATAAAAAGGCCAGATTGCTACAGTCTTCTGAAGACTGGAATGCTGAAAACAAAGGGCGATTATCTGATTCTCTTGTAGATATAAATGAGAAAAAAGAAGTGTTGTTGGCTGGCATGGTAGAAAATGTGCCTAAAAGCAAGCAAGATAGCACATTGCTGGCTTCCTTACTACAGTCATTTAGCTCTAGGTTGCAGAGTGTTGCTTTGTCACAACAAATCAGGCAGAGCCTTAAAGAGCAAGGATATTCGCTCAGCAATGATTCCTCACAGGTAGAGAAAGACTTGAAGTGCTACGGTGTTGCATCCAGTCACTTGAAGACTTTGCTGAAGAAAAACAAATTGAAAGATGAAAAACTGGAGACTGGTCTGCCAGAGCTGACAACAAACCTAGTTCAAGATCGGTTTAAAGAATCTACACATTCAGGACAGAGTGGTTCAAAAGTGATGAATGAATCACTTTCTTGTGCTGCAAGATTACAAGCTGTTGCAAGCATGGTGGAAAAAAGATCTAGTCCTGCTGCATCCCCTAAGCCAAGTGTTGCCTGCAGCCAACTTGCTTTGCTTCTTTCAAGTGAAGCACACTTGCAGCAGTATTCCAGGGAGCATGCTCTAAAAGCACAAAATGCCAATCAAATTGCAAGTGAGAGACTTTCTGCTATGGCAAGATTAAAAGAAACTGTTCCTCCAAAAGATGTTGGTCATTTTAAACTATCAAAAGGAATGGAAAGCCATTTGAATGGTCAGGCAAGATGTTCAAACAAAACAATAGCCAATAAAAGCAATATCACAAATTTTCAAAGTCATATGGGCATAACTCATTCATCTCCAAAAATTATAAACTACAAAACATCAGAAAAAAGTCATATGAAACCACCTACCAACAGTAGTTTACTTTTGCACCTCCTGAAAAATCATAGTACTACAAAGCAGACCAAACGGTATGAACAAAATGACAGGTCCAGTATTTTTGAGGAAAGCAGTACACCAACTACTGTTGATGAATACTCTGACAACAACCCAAGTTTTACAGAAGATGATAGTAGTGATGATGAGAGTTCCCATTCAAATTGTCTTCCTATAGATTTGTCTTTCAAACAAAAAACAAATACTCAAGATTCAGGGGAGACAGCTTCTCTAGACAATTTAACTCAATCCTTGTTTCATAGTTGGGAATCAAAAGTCCCATGTCTGGAAAACATAGAAGAAAAGGATGCTTCTAAAAATACAAAATTGAATCCACATCAAAAAGTAACTTTACTGCAATTGCTACTTGGTCATAAGGAAGAAGAAAAATCACCCAAAGTTAGAGAAACTGAAGGAACATTAGTTCCAGCTGATGTGACGAAATTTAATTTTTCAGTGAGTAACAGAACTCCTATTACTGAGTCCTCTAATACTAATCGAATAATTCCAGTACATACTCCTCCTTTGCAAACTTCTACAAAAGCAGATTCACCTATCAACCTTTCACACAATTCTCCTTTAATGATAAAATGTAATTCACCACCATATACTTGCATCATACAGCCCGAGAGACTAACTAATCCAGCTTCTAAACAATTGATAGATCTTACTATTCATAAAGAACTTCATGGAAGTAAACAGAATAAAAAAGAAACTTTACAGACACCTTCATCTTTCAGTGCAAGTAAACTATTGCAAAACTTAGCTCAATGTGGGATGCAGTCTTCCATGTCAGTGGATAACCAAAGACAAGCAGGCAAACAAGTGATGACTCTTAAAACTGAGAAACCAGTAGGATTGATAGGTGGACTAAATACTTCCCTGCTTCATAACACATCATGTACACTTGAAAAAAACAGAATGCTCACTAATCAGTTTCTCCCAGGAGAACAAAAACTTCCCAGTTCAGAAATCCAAAATCTGCTAGAACGGCGCACTGTGCTCCAGTTACTTCTGGGAACCTCCAACAAAAATATGAATGAAACAAAGGAAAAAATATTTTTAAAAGAAGAGAGTTTAAAAGATCCAACAGAAAAAGTTTTGAATGAACAAATACTGACTGTAAAAATAAAAGCTGAGCCTTCTGAGGAAGAATCCAGTGCCCTTCAGAATTCAAATGCTCAACAAATAATGGAAAATGTTAATAAGAAATTTCCAGAAATGACTCATTCTTTAGAGAGAAATATGGCTATTTCTCAAGCATCAGAAGAATTTCAGTCCCAGTCTCTTACATCTCAAGACTTTTCCTTTTCGAAGAATGGACTTCTAAGTCGATTGCTGAGACAGAGTCAAGATGGCTGCTCTGCAGATATTCTGGACAGGAGAAACCATGAACAGAGTTTTGTGGAATCAAAAAGTCACAATATGCTGCCCAAAAAGAGAAAATTGCATTCTGATTCTTTAGAAGGTCCTTTAAAAATATTAAAAAGTAATAAATGTAGAATATCTGATGTCACAAACAATCACAAGTCTACTGCAGATTCTTTGTATGGTAATTGTCTTAACCAAAAAGAATCTCAGTTCATCAAAAGTGATTTTGAAATAAAATATTCTTCAGGTTATGGGTCAATAAACGAAAGTGAAAACAGAAGTTGGTCTAGAGAAAGTAAAGGATTTAATGTGTTAAAACAACTGCTTCTGTCAGAAAATTGTGAAAAAGATATATCTCAGCATAGAAATAATTTATTAGTAACAGATGGCAAAAAGAAAGGAAGCAAACATAACCTAACAAATAATGAGAAGGCTGAATTCAATGTTTCTCCTGTGCATACTCTCATAGGGAACCCTGGGCAACCAAGCAATTGCTTGGACTACCAGACATTTCAATATTCAGTTGCTATGAAGAGTCCTGCCAGTTCTCCCTTCACTGAACATTTGGGAGGCACAGTATCATCAAAGCCAGAATGTGACCAGTTTAGCATTTGTCATATACCTAATGAAAGGGGACCTCTAAAATGGGTCATCACTGATTCTGACAAAAATGATCTTGAGAGAGACTCCCCAAGATTGACCCAAACTAATCCAATATTGTATTATATGTTACAAAAGGGTGGAAACCCTATTAATGTTCAGGAAACCCATAGCAAAGATGCTTGGAGAGATAAATCATTTATAGAAAATTCATCTGTCACAATGAAGAAAGAGTTGTCTCCTGTCACAGAATGTAAAACATTTCCTAATAGAAGAAATGCATACAGCAACCATTCAAATAATAGGGTGTCCATTCAACACAACGGAGAAGTATATGGACTCTTAGAAAAGGTATTAACAATAAAAAAAGAACCTGAGTAGGTTAAAATCTTACAAAGTGTTTACAATCAGGTTTGAATCTTTTCTTTGAATAAAATAATGTAAATCTAGCATGATTTGAGAAGAGCATGGTATAGCTATGGTTTTATTTGATGAATTTTTTTTGCTGATATTTAAATGCATACAGCTTTTGTTCTTTATTTTTGCTTTACTGGAAATTTATCACAATACATGTCAACAGACTTGTTAATTATATAAATGTCCATGAGTAATTTGCAGCTGGATTGTACTCAGTGAGTAACTGCTATTACTGTCCTTGCACATAACTATGTGCTTATGTAAACCCATAATATTTTCCTTACATGTTTCAAAACCATGAAGGTGATAAATCACAGACATTGATTTATCACAAAAATCAAAAAGCTTTATGTGATTTGTACACATGGCAAACAAAAGAAATAGTGAGCAGATTTATTTACATATACCTGGACGAGTGTAGGAATAACTATAGAGTCAAAAGCAACTGTAGTAAGATATGTAAAACAGGATCATTTGGAGATACTGGTGTTACTCATGTAATGCAGTGCAACATTATATATTTTCTCTTCTCTCACAACTGGGCTACTACCATCCTGTATTGTCTGCTCATTTATAAAATGTGAAGAATATTTTTTTATATATAAATGGATCATCATCCAGGCCAAGTCATTTATTTGTTGTTTTTGTAATACTTATCAGTGTTAACTAGAGAATTGTACACAATGAAATTTCTAGTGCTTCCAAATGGCTTGTAATTTGTTTTTGCATAATTGGACAGAACCACAAGAAACACTGTCTTTTGTTTAGTTGCCTTTCCTAGACACTCAGCTGAAATAAATTAAAATCTAGGTTGTGACTTCAAAAAAATAATGAAGCTGAATCATAAATTACTGGAAGTAAAAGATACATCTCTTTCACTACTTTTAATTGTTTATTTATTTACATTTATTCAAATTTTCCAGGGAAATTAACATTTGAATAAAGTTGAAAGATTCCAGACTCATGCTTTAAAAAAAATAAAAAAATTGTGATAGTCAATCTATCATTGTGATCTATTTTTCATGAATTCATATATATAAAAGATTTATATAGCTAAGATGAAAGATGTATAAATTACCAAATGATCAAAACCAGTTCATGATCATTTTTAAACTTTTTCTATCCTAGCAGTAAGAAAGGAATTGTAAATTGGAAGAGCTGAATTATTTTAATATTTAAATATCTTAAAATAAATAAACTCTAAATTTAAATGTAGAACTGGAAAATATTGTAAAGTAAATAAACTAAGCATCTACTAGTGTGAAAGATGTTATTTTATTGATTCATGGAATTCCAGATACCTAAAGGGGAAAGTGGCAAGAAACATCATTAATAAATGTATTATCTTCAAATTGTTGGTTTAATTTATTCTACTAGACCTGAAATACATGTTAAACAGATTACAATGCTAAATGAAAATAACTTTTAAATTTAGATTAGTTTCAATAAATTGGTGGATTGTTTAAAATTCTACTGTGTTTTCCTGAAAATAAGACAGGGTCTTATTTTCTTTCCACCCTGAAATAAGTGCTTGGCCTTATTTTTGGGGAGGTCTTATTATTTTTGAGGTGCAGGAGGAGGTGAACATGGTCACCTCATGGCTGCTGCTGCATTGAAATATTTTTGGGGAGGGCTTATTGGGTGAGGGCTTATTTTAGCGCATGCACTAAAAAGCCCAATTGGGCTTATTATCCGGGGAGGTCTTATTTTCAGGGAAACTGGGTATATAATTATAATTTTGAAGTATCAAGGTTACTGGTACTTTTATATATAATTTTTTACATTTATTTTCAACACATTATTTGGTATCTTTTATTATGATTAAATCCAGATCAATTCAAGTCTTCCACGGATTTGGGTAAAATTGCATTTGACAAAAAGCCAAGTCTAGTGCAGTTCAGCTCAGCAAGTTTAGTTATGTTGAAAATATGTCTGTATTATTGGCAGACTAAACTTTTTATATAATGCATATATATAGTTACATATCATTGGATATATAACATTTTAATCCTGTAAGGTTATGCTGAGAGTAAATGAGAAGGCTACTCTAATTGAAAATCCAGAAATTTATTTCCACAATAACCAGTATGCCATCAAATGAATTACAAATAAAATGTAAATAGCATAACATCCTTCAATTGTTTCCCAGAAATGCCATTATTCCTTGAGAAGTTAGCATAATATTCAGGTGCCATCAGTATTTTTTTTCGTAAGTTCACCTAACCTTCATTACAGTTATTACATGACCTATAGGCAGCAAATTATGAGTCTTGCTTCAATTCTTAAGTGTAATATTAAAGTTCAAGTCCTGTGCTCATTATAGGTGAAAAACTCCCAATCAAATTAAATTGAACTTTTTGTTAAGTTGTGTGTGTAAAACATGAACAATGTGTTTTGTTTTTAAATGGAACAAACACACTGTGCCTTGGAAGTTCTGATGAATTTTTCCAGGTGGCTATGATTCAGCAGAACTGAAACCCAGGATATTTTGGTTATTGTAGATTTCATCAAAACTGAAGTCTGGAAGTCTCTTACAAGAGGAATAATGCAAACCCTACTGTCCCTTGCTCTTTTCTCCTGTATCTTTTACATGCCCTATACACGAGGTCATTTACCAATCTTCCCTATACCATCTTTTCTCTACTTCTCATTATGCTATGCTTGAAGGCAAGTACATTGGCAGCAGTTAAAGATAGCTAGTGAAAGGATGATCTGGGAAGATTCAGAGGGTGAGCATATGAATAGGCAGAGTTGAACTCAAGGATATTGATCTATGAAGATGCTCAGTCATTATGGTTGTCCCAAAGGTGTTTTTTTTTTCAAAAGGCAATTGGACTTTGTTTTTTCTTGAAGATGTTTTGTTAAGAGTAAAGAAGTTTCTTGGATGAGAAGCAAAACTTCAAGAAAAACAAAGTCCAGTTGCCTTTTGAAAAGGTACCTTTGGGCCAAAGATATTGGCAACAGCTGTGCCCCTGCCTACATACCTACTCTGTATTCCCAATCACTTCCTTTATATTTTCTAGCTATTCTCAATTTAATGTCTTTTGCTTTTGCCCATTGGCACTTCCCTCCCACTTTCAACAACACATACTTTGCTCTAGATGGAACATAAAGAACCAAAAAGGGATTTTCTATGCATGGAATTGTTCATGAATAGAATGATTTTCAAGTTTCAATAGACATATATTAATGCACTATTATAGTGCAATCTTATAATGTATTCTCAAATATAACTTCTTTTGAGTTCAGAAGATTTTATTCAAATACAATCAACAAGCAGTTTTTTTAATGTGTTATTTTGCCTTACAGCATTTAGAATCAGCCATTTTAATACAGAATGTCACTTTTCAACTATTAAGTTATATTGGAGATCATGTTTAATGGGTTAGACTGGTTTATTGTGTCTCAAGCATGACAATATGGCTAAAACCTTTTTGCATCATTTTTTAATAATACTTTAGTTGCTTTACTCTTCTTGCCACTTCAGTACCTCACACATGTATTATTTTGATAATAACCATTAGTTAGCATTGCATTATTAGTATTTTATATTAGACATTTCTAAATATTTCTAAAATTAGAAATATTTAAACTGCAAACTTCAAAATACCACCTTTAATGTCTCAACTCAAACATTTACTTCCTTGACAGAGCAAGACTTAGAATTGCAGTTAAAATTAAATTTTGTAAATCACATGCCTGAACTTGATTCATGTAATGCAGTTGAGTGTAAATTTAGTATTTAGATGGTAAGTGAAGAGAAAGGTTTGATTTGAAGAAAAAGCACATATTCCTGCAAGTGCTTTATTCAGCTTGACCTCAGGACTGAGAACTAGAAAACAAGAAGCAGTCAATTGACTTTAAAAGTTATTTTAGGAACTAGGGTTTATCCTACTACTCCTGTTTCCCTCTTTATTTTTATTTCTTCTTTGGATCCTATCTGGATCTCTAATCTTGCGTAAATTCAGTTACAAAAGGATAAAATATATACAAAAATAATAAGTAATATTTATCTCATTCTTCCATCATTTAAAAGCAAACATAAATTGAGATATCCCCAATATTTGGCATTCTATTTTACTAGGAAAAAATGTTTTATTTTCCACATGGCTGTGACCCCATGAATATAATAGGGCTTACTTCCAAGTGACTATTCATAAACTTGGGTTGCACAACTGAATCACATACATGCTTACCTGCAAATAAATACTACTCAGATTTTGCACAAGTGCAACACCTCCATTTATTCACTAAATCTTTTTTCAGGGTTTCCAAGTGAATCTGAAAAGAGATATACTTCTTTAAGAAATCTCAGTTTCAATGCAATACCACCTTTTTTTCAGGGTCAGGCTGGTCTAATAAATAGCAGAAACCTACTGTAATTTCTCAAGATCAGAAATACTTGATTTTTGATGTGAGTTCAGCCACCTTTATATTTTTAAATAACAAACAAGTATTTAATTTTTTGTTAATATTTCATTTTCCCCTGGACTGTCACTAATGAGAGCAAAATATTACCAGTTAATTCTCTGCTGCATCTTAGTTGAGTAAACTGGCAAGTTATATTTTATATCTATATATATATGTATACATATGTAAATATGTAGACTTCTTAACATGTTTAATTTTTTTTCTAAAAACTATGATGTAAATAGTGGTTTCTTTAAAATGCATATTTTGTATTATATCAAATGCAAAGAAATTAACATTTTAATCATTTTGTTCTGTATATTCCATGTATTAATAAATGTAAATATTATTGCATAGGTTTAACATTTTGCATGTATGTATACAGTGCAAGTCTGGAGGAATGTATAGAAATGTTTTATTTAAAATTGTAATTATTGCTGCATGATAAATGCATGGGGGACCCTGTGCATCTCTGCAATGGCAAAAATTGTCAAAACCAGATTATCCAACATCACTGTATTCTGTTTCTGAACATGACTTCTGCTATGGTATTTCAGCTTTGTAAAAGAATGTGCTTCAAAGGAAAGAGCCTGGGGAAAAAGAACTACTTTCTTTAAAACAAAAATATCCTCTCTTGCTCCCAATCACAAATATTGTTTATGTTTTTAATTCCATTTAAAGCCACTGAAATTCTATTGCAGTATTTTCAGATAATGTAACCTTGTTTTGCATTGACATACATACAAATTATGGAATTTATACAGGCTTTTTTGTTGTGAAGTTTTCACTGATTAAAAAAATAAAAATTATCATTTTATTAAGACATGACTTATTCATGTAATGTCGCAAAACTGTACATATGGCAGTGTGAAGTTTTTTAAATTCTTTCAGTGTTTACTTCCTGCAGAAAATTTGAATAAATGAAAAAATGCATTGAATTTGTAGTCCTAATCTATTGATTGCACTGTTTTATTTGCAACCAAATTTTCTAACCAATTTTTTTTCTGCAGATATTAGCTACTTGCTGATAAAGCTCCTAATCCTTGCAAATTACCTCCATCATATTTCTCTCTCTCTCTCTCTCTCTCTCTCACACACACACACAGACACACACACACACACACACAACCTCAACCCAAACTCCTTATACATCTACAATAATTTTCTTTTTTTCTTTTTCTTTTTCTTTTTTAATGGTATATAATTGTACTTTTAGTATCTTTTTTTAGAGAATTTTCTAACTCTTCTAATTTTACTTAGATCTGATTATTTGGCAGTGGGATCCTAGATAGTAGCTTTCTAAAGGTTTGGAAATTAGGTCTTCTAAAACCCAGTGTGCCTATGTCACAATGCTTTGGTGCTCTCTCTGCACTGCACATTTATCTAAGAACACAGAAATCATTGAGGTATAGTTATCTCCTGTAGTTATCTCCTGTACAGATTACTATAACTTGATCTACATGGGGCTGTCCTTGAAGACCAATTGGAAGCTGTGGCTGGATCAGAATAGAGTGGAATTTACAGTTTTGTCTACCCTGTAGTTCACCCAAGCAGTAAAGCTACATGAGCTGCACTGGCTTT